AAAGTATGTTTACAACAGGAGGGTAGAAATAACACTGGACAGGAAGGAAAGGTCGACAACTCTGATTTAAGATGTGCACCGTCACCACTTCAGCTTTGTCAATTATACTACTCTACATTGGTACGTAGCAGATTCAAGATTGGCCGAGCAGGCCCAGGCCCATTAAATTTTTCAAAATAATTTTTCAAAATGGAGAAAAAAATAAAATTATAATCAATATACAAGTCTGAGCGTGCCATTTCCGGCCCTCTGGAGGTGCTGTAATCATAAATTTTCTAGTCTCATCCCCAAGGTGGGCTGAGGTGGGACTTATTTCCAATTTCTGGATTTGCCATTGGGTAGTTAAATCAGAGTCTTTAGAAGTAGAGAAGTAAAAACTGGTGGTTCTGATATGTGGAAAGCATGTATGAACTTAATAGTAAGCACTGCATGGTTAATTACTGCAGTTATATTTATGCACCACTGCAGTTCATTCAATCACTTAATACTTTTCAAAGAAATATCTGACAAATTTTGTCTCGGTAAAAACTGACAAGATTCAAAGGATAGACTCTAAAGAATAATTGACTTTCGCAAGTCTTTCTATTTACCAGTTCATTTAGGTAGTGATCCATCAAATTTTGACTAAAATTGAAAATAACAAATTCTATACATGACACTATATTTAGCAATTGTAACGTCATGCTTAGTCTAGCACAATTAACTATTAAAATATTAATGGTATTTTAAATAAACCTAAATTGTATCTTCCATTGTAACATAGTTCAAACATTTAGGTGAAGAAAGATAGTTAGTGTATATGTAGGTAATAAAAATATCTATCCGTTTATTAACCTTTCAGTATGATGTTTATTTAATCTACCTTACAGAAGGTGGGTATAAGCATAAAGAGGTGAATGTTTTGAGCAAACAAGGCTCTTGGTGGATTTCTGGATGAGCACAATAGGAATCTTGTATCTAGAGCTGATCCACGTGGGATAGGCCTTTGAAAATCTGGATCTATAAACTCCCACATATTTAATCTTTAACAGTTAAAAAGGATAAGCTATTATAAGGAAACACTGCTACAACCCTAAAAATAAAATCCCATTAAAAAAAAAAAAAAAAAAAATATATATATATATATATATATGAATGGGATGAATGATTGGTTTGGCAGGAAACAACTTGATGTAAACAAATTTTTAACACATTGACTGAACATAAAGCTCTAGATTTGTTGGTCATTCTCTAAGGACATACAAAGCAATAAAAATATACCAATAAAAATATACCAATCTCAGATAAATCACACTGTTCTTTCTAGTGTACAGTACCCAATACTGACCAGGCCCGTATTTAGGGGGGGTTCGGGGGTTTGTCCGAACCCCCCACCCCGACGCGGGAGATGGAGTTAAGTGAAAATTTTTATTTTTATTTCTTTTTTCCAATTTTTCATGGCAGCTCGTACGCTAACACACTTATAATAAAATTTTATTTTACTGTTTATTTTGAAATCCACAATTTCGGAATCGGAGGGTTCGCTAGGTATAAAAAAGTCTCGCCTTTTTTAAAGCACTAAAAATGTATATCTATTTATACTGTAAAAGGGCCTGAGGCCTATCACACTGAATAAAGTCCCCATTTAGGGGAGAGAAGAAGTATGTGGGTTTTGATAAGGAGTTCCGCATAGTCCCAAAACCCGAACCAACCCATTGAAATTCCTAAATACGGGCCTGCTGACCCAAGTGGGAGGGGCTCTAAAAAATCTGGATCTATAAACTCCCACATGTTTGATCTTAAATAATTAAAAGGGATAAGCTATTATAAGGAAAAACTGTTGCAACCCAAAAATAAAATCCCATAAAAATATATGGAAATACTGCAGGATAATAATAATAATAATAAGTGGGATTTGTAAAGGGCATAATACATAATAATAGGATGAATGATTGGTATGACAATTGTTATGGCCATTTCGCATTATTTTGCTTTCATGCTGCTACGGCAAACGCGCATATGTTTTATACGCGCATGCGTCGAGAATGATACAAAAGTATCTTTCAGTTCGGTCTAAGATTCATCTGTTTCATCGACCCCTAGCCAAGCACACCTTGTAAGTAGGCTTAATTTTATAATATATAAACATAACTTAATTATAATATAATCTTAATGTTTAGATGATCGCTTTAGCATGTATTCTTAATATAAGACTTGCATGCCAATACATGATACGAGGACCAATGCTTAAGTCTTATTAATTGTTAATATGATTAGTTAACTGTGAGATTACCGTTACTTATTATCTATTGTTACTATTACCATATGGTTTATATTGGAAGTAATAAAGATAACCAGCAACGCATTGAGAAAATCGGTTTTAATGTTTTATTGGGGTAGAAATAGACGAAACTATATTTTTAACACATTGACTGAACAGAAAGCTCTAGATTTTTTGGTCATTCTCTACAAACATGCAATAACAAAAATATCCCATTCTCAAATCAATCACTGTTTTCTAGCCCGTCCCTACACCAAGTTATTTTCGAGCAATGGCCTACAGGATTTATAATTTGCTTATCAATAAAGATGTCAGAAATTTCTAAGGTTTAAAATATCAACACTTTGCTGGCCACTTGTCAAAAAGTACTCAATTTCTAGCGTTAAGAATTCTATTAGGAATAATGAATAAATTTGAAGTAGAATAAATCAATTTACAAGATTAAAAGAACTAACAACAGATGAATAGGCCTCTGAGCCTATATAGCCTATTTTATATTTGTATTTGTCAGGATACACTTTCAATACAAAAGCACTGGTCTTCATAATGGACAAGCTTTACTTAAACAAGGTTCAGAATAAACTAATAATAAGCACAATTACAACTAAGAATAAGCATGTATACATATTGAACCCTTAACAAAGGGTAATTGAAATAAATGCAATAAAAATTAATTACAGATTACACAGGCTATAAAATCATGGTTCAAAATAATGAATCAGAAATTTTTAAAGCATTCAAGTTTGGATTTATTTTTAATTTCATTTTGCAAACTATTCTGTTGCTTAATAGATCTGTATTAAAGGTTCTTTTTTCTTAAATAGGGCGATTATTCCAATTTGGTACAAATAAAGTGTCTATTGATCTGTGTCTAATTTTAAAACATATTTGTCCTTAATGAGCAATTTAATGGTTTTCTAGATTTTTCCACAAATGTAACAACTCTACAATCTCAAACCTCTATCTTCTGCCCTCTATGGACTTCATAAGCAAGTTTAGACTCGCATCTCCTCTTCACTCAGTTCACCCACATCCTTCTTATTAGTCATTATCAAATTGTCAGCCACCCAGACCTACCATGCCACAAACAATAAGCCTGTAATTAACCATTAAACACTCAACAAACAGCTGGGTAATGGTCTCCTCAACTTCTGGCACATACATTTTTTTTTTCTGGCCTGGTATGATTGATTATGAAATACAATTATGAATTGTTTCCTATTTCTTAGTTTATCTCACAGCCTTTTTCTTTGTCACCAAATTTTGCCTTTTGTTATTTGCTAATAAAATCAATAAATATGGTACTAAATATATTGGTAAAATTTCTATTCTACTTCAAAATCAATTGAGAGATAAATACACTTGATTAAACACAAACAGCAAACTTGCCATCGTTTAGAATTTCCTTGACCCACATAAAAAATCTAGGTGATGAGAATTTAAAAATACAGTACTGTAATGGAAAACTGATCATGTGATCATATCATGAGTCAAGGCACATATAAATACATCTCAAGAAGATTTTTTGAGACATTTTAAATAAGTATCATGAAGCACCCAAAGAACTGTTTGTTAAATTTTGTGTTTGGTCTGACTGATAAGGCCTGTCTGGCAGAGTTTAAGCCTTCCTGCCTCCTCCTACATCACCACTATCCAAGCTCTTGTGCAAAAAAATGCTCACGCTGTAAACAACCATTGTAGCATTATGGCGCCAGGTTTTTCCCAAAGAGGCCGTCGTCAGGCATCACTCAAAATCTTTCAGAAGTAGTCCAGGTACAGTAGCAAAAACTCAAAAAAATATGACAATTTAGGGGTTTCAAAGGCTTATTTAATCAATTTTTTAGTCTACTATAGTCAACTATATGTAGAAAATACATATAATTCTTTTTTTTCTCCCCAATGAATTGTGGTTTTTCTCCCAGACTGAGGGGGCCAGCTCTTCCCATCAGGGGCCCTGGCAATAAATTATTATTATTATTATTATTTTTATAAATATTGTTTAAAGGTTTGCATGGTAAAATAATATATTTAATGCTCGCAGTACACCACATAGATAGTTCTGAAAAGAACTCATGTTTATTGAGAACGTCGCAATGTTTCGATTGAGTTGCTTTAATCGTTTTCAGTAGCATAATATCTGCAGAGAAACCGAAAACCAAACAGGAAAATACTTACATGTTTGGATAGTGAGAACTTGCTGCTGGATTGGTGGAAAGCTAAATGTATAATATATTATTATAAAGTTATTATAATTAGCATTTTGGCCAAGAACAAGAACAGTGCTCAAAAGGTTTCTGGTATGAATCCGACATTAATCAATATTGTCTCTGCCCTGCTTTCTTCACTGCAATTGACTGGGCACATTTGGCCTACTTCTTTTCTCGAACTCAAACTGGCCTAAATGATGACATCATCCTGCCCATATATGGATGTGATGGCATCATCATGCCGATGGGCATATCACACTTACTGTATTTTGTCTCATAAACTTGATAAGTGTGAACGGAGCTTTAAATGTAGTTTATGGATAGTTGATGGTGACCTAGGGCTGGTGACCTAGGGCTTGGGACATCAGGCTGCGTCTATCACAAATTAAAATACAATACATTACATTAAAGTTGAATCTGCTTCTGAATTTGAAGGATTGAGAAGGTGCATATTTAGTCCCGTTATAGTGATTGCGCAGCGATGTTACGCTTTAGTAATAAGACATTGATAAATAACTTTCTGTAATACACAGATCCGTTGGGAATTAATGCAGAGGTATGGGAAGATGTATAAATATTGAAGACTGAATGGATCTTCTACTTTCATAAATCATGTATGGAAAAATTAGGAAACCTGTCAACCATTGAAAAAATGGAAATACAGGAACGGATAACAAATAGATCTTGACGTGATTCAAGGATTGCTCGGTGATAAAATCGAGATGGGATGCTGAATCGATCAAGATCTCGCATCAAAAGAAATGGACTAGAAAATGAATTATGCAAGGATGTACAGCTAGCAACTACTCAATCCTAAATGCCAAAAATAATAAATGTAATATTTGTAATGATAATGAGCTATTTATCAACATTTATATGGTTTCTTTCTGTTTTAGAATTCTCAACTTTAAGCTGTTTCATTTCTGAGCAAACCTGAATGTTGAAATTGGTATGCAGTAGTTGGGACATCAGTTTGGAAGGGATGGATAAAAAGTAAAAGTTGGAAAAGGCCATAAGTAGGGGGGGGGGGAAGCAGATGAATGGAGAAGAAAACATGAATACCATTGCTATGCTGGCAAATGCTCTAATGATACCAGTAAACTAAATTCACTGAAAATATTACTGAACAGATTCGGTAGAGTTCTGCTCTCTATAGATTTAACAGCTCAAAATGAAATCAGAGTACAGTAACTGCAACTGATATAGTAAATTTTTAAAATGTCATTTGTGCTAAATTACTGTGTATATATAATTTTTTATTATAGGGTTATTTTCTCTTTGAACATTTGTGTTTATCATGCTCTTAAAATCGTTTATTCATAACTCAATTTACATATGCAATACTGATTTAAGACTAACAAACTTTTGTAAATATATCTCAATGTCATATCATACTGTGTGTATATTCTGTATTATTTATGTCCTTTGATTATTATATGTATGTAATTTTGCATTAGGAAGAATTTTACTTTTATTTCATTTTCAAAGTGACAATAAAAGGATCTTGTATCTTGCTACGACTTTCTTGTTGCTTTGCATGTATGATGTATACAGTATATTGTGGATTACTTTCTTTTCTCCCATTTTGATATATGCTATTTTTGATCTGTTTAAATTTACTACACTTTTGTTTATAATCTTGAATTACTTTATTAGGTAAACTGGACCATTTTCAGTGGTGAATCCAGGAGGGGCCTAGGGTGGGACTTTCAGAGATAGAGGGTCAACCTACTTCAGCCCCACCATGGTTGGGGCTAAGTTAAGAAAAACTATGGTTATGGCACCTCTAATTGCATTGTCAGGTTTAAAGGTTAATAATAATTTTTTTTTTCTCCATTTCCTTTTACAATTTTGACAAATTTATTGAGGGACCAGGTCAAAGTGTGACAGGGCTATAATATTATGACTTTGTTATTAGTTTTCAATCTTAAATTAGAAAAGACATTATCTTTGTCAATGAACAAGGTAGGCATAATAATAATACCATAATATTGATGTTGTCATGAACATCCTTTAAATTCAAAATCAAAAGTTTTGTAGCAAAAAAATTTATAACTCAGGGCGATATAAAATTAATTAAAGCCTTAAAATGAGAAAAATTAAGATGTAAAATGTAGGATTAAGCTATGGAGTTATTATAGTACTGTATATTGTCTTGTGTTGAATGAGAAATTTTATGGGAAAAGTGAGAAAAGTAACCCAACGGCAATATGAATCTATATCCTAAATGGCACTATTCAAGTACAATGAATGATAATAACCTTCAAGTTTAAAGTATTCTGCACTCTAAACGAGGGGCTTAGATCTCAGCTCAACTACAAATGATGTGATTATTCTACCATGCTATGCATCTCATCCACATTAAAAATCAGCATTTGAATTAATAATTATAAACGTACTTAAAAATTGTTGGGTTGTTTGCATCATGCACCAAGGTCAGCTATTTATCATTTACCTGCTGAAGAAACATCGTCATTCACAAAAATTTGAATTTTAGATTCTTCCTCATTGCAGAACCCATCAGACAATCTACATTATTAACAGTGGTGTACATAGGGTATTGACATGGGGCTAATAATGGGGAGGAGCAAAAAGGTTAAGCTGGGAGAGGGGAAGGGGAAGTTAGGTGTGGGGTTGCTAGCTGGAAAAATAAGATGATTTCAAACAATTCCCCAAATATAAACATGCCCCCAAATGCACCTCCAAAATCAACCCAATTTCCTGTTGAATGCATTACACAATAGTTGGCTATGAAACAAACAACAGAGGGCAGCATACTAGAAAATATTTTCTGGGGAACTTTGGATTTCAAAATGGGCAACCAGGAAATCAAGTTTCTTCTGTCAACTCTTCAGGGTAAACATATTTTTTATTTGGTATTCAATCTACAGTACATTCTATCTATAAATAAATGACATACTGTGTGAAAAATACACAAAAACTGAATTTATTAAAGCATTCAGTGATGAAGTGTTCATGAAAAAAAAAAAAATTTTTCAAACATATTTATACTCACAATCTGTAACATCCAAAAATATGTGATTTTAGGAATGATCTAAGTGTTAGTTTCATTATTTTGTAAGTATTGCTATTACTAATTAAAGTAAACAATTATTTTGGTAAATACTTGTAAATAAGCAATTTATTGGTTAATTTTTTAAAGTTATTTCTAGATTTTTGTTTTATTGTGGTAATACAATATTATTTAATTAACAATTTGACTGGTCAATAAACATTTCAAATTGTAAGGCACCCACATTTAGTGCGATACCTATCAATATGCTAGGCAATATAGAAAGCTTTTAACGACTTATGTCCTTATATAATAAACAATACAGCAGTATCTATTAAAGTAGTTCTTATATCCTTATATAATCAGCCATGTACCATTGAAGCAGTATCTATTTACGTACTTCTTATTTCTTTATATAATCAGCAAAGCAGCAACAGATATTTAAGTGCTTTGGGGGTGGGGTCTGTATATAATTGACAATGCAGCAGTATCTATTTAAGTACTTCTTATATACTTATTATATTATAAGGATAATATATAATTAAAACCATAAATAGTAAAGCAGCAAATTTAATTAGCAAACTGCAGCATTGCTGATTATTATGGCTTTAATCCTGCAAAATGCCAAGATATATTTCTTCCATATAACAACTCTGCTCCTTCCTAAGATTTGGTTTTGTAATTGGCCGAGTGAAATTGAAATG